TTTTCTCTTATGAATGTTTTGGAACCTAAGGTTTTTTTTTTTTCGGTATAATAAAATAAATAACATATGGCTGTCGGGGTGATAGAGGATATTGCCAACCCTTGAACTGGCATATTACCCTCGGCTGCACCTCGGGGTAATATACAACTTCTCGGGTTGACAATATCCTCTATCACCCCGACAGCAATATATGTTATTTATATATTATTATACCTCAATATATCCTTCAATGTATAACTCCCATAGGCCTACAATGTGTTCTGATTGAATATCACCCTCCTAGAATATATTTCCCGGGGAATATTTCTTATATCACCCTGGGGTACATAACTCTTACATAACTCTGAATTGATAAAAACGATAATGCTTTAGTAACCAGTTAGCATAATGCAAAATGACAGCCATGTGTTATTTATATAATATTGTTAAGTTAATATTTGACATATAAGTAATTTATAAATGTACATGTTTGTATCCAACCAGCACAGCAAGAAAACATACTATTACGTCAAGTGTCTATTACGGTGGCACAGATGTGACACATGGGTGTCTTTATTTATCTTGTTCACACGAGATATTATCTTGTTCCCACAAGATATTATCTTGTTCCCACGAGATATTATCTTGTTCCCACGAAATAATTATCTTGTTCACACGAGATAATATCTTGTTCCCACGAAATAATTATCATGTTCCCACGACATGATTATAGCCAATCAGAAGCTGTAAAATGGTAATATAGCAGTTACTTCCCCTTATTTAGTTGAACATTTACTTGATTATATAATTATAGATTATATTCATGTATAACAATGTAGGTTGATCTTGAAAGTGCCACACTGTAGGGACATACAAAACCTTAACTACCAATTACTGGTGTTTAATAGCGCATACCCTCATTTGGTGACGCATTTGCGTGCACACTGATCTGGGTCGACACTGGAGGGATACATGTAAGTAGCCTTTCAAAACTCTGTATTTATAAGGTGGTGGCCCCGCAGTGGCGTTCAGTCCACCACGCACGAATGAGTAATAATCAAATACAAATGTCTTAAATCAATGTAGCATGAGAAGGACCGTCTTCGCAGCACTTAAGAGAAAAGTCACAAAACCCATTTAACACGTGTTGCGTATATGCTTATAACGACCATTGTCGAACCATATCCCCCGACAAGCAAATGCGTCATCCTGTCAAGGTCTGCACTGTTTGCTGTTGAATCAGTAGGTCAGATTTTAACTGTCAAAGCAGTTAACTCCTTGATTAGCTCACATGGTTTATACAGGTTAACTGCTTTGTTTGCCAGATAGAGTTGCATATTTTTCTTAACTTTTGACCACTTGACAGTAAAGGAATATGCAACTCTGTCCACGCCCCTATACCGTTCACAAACTTTCGGGACGGACACTTAGACACTCGGACGGACAATGGCAACGCTATATGGGGCACAAAAATATTGGAAGAACACAAACAATGCTAAAACGTATTGCTTCGGTGAGTTAAGAAGGCACATGCCCATGCCCCATCCGGATCTGCAACTGGCCATGCACAATAATGTATGATACATTTTACGTCGGGGGGTAAACCAGAGGGTAAAATCATGGGTTAGTTGGATAGACTGTTACAATATCCAATACAATAAATTACAAATTAACATATGAAAAATTGAGACATTTATCGTTAACCGATTTGGACATTTATGAGCACCTAATTTGTTGCGACATTTTTCGTTAATTTTTGGACATTTATCGTTCAAGGAGTTTTGGACATTTATCGGCGATTGAGACATTTATCGTCAATTTTTGGACATTTATCGTCGTTTGGACATTTTTCGACGTTTGGACATATATCGGCGCTACAATCCCTTAAACTTGTTTTAAATTCTAAATTGACTATAATAAAAATTATATGAAATTTCATATGCTATATTGCTATAAAGTCAATACAAAATGTATCAAAAACAGGTTAACTTGTTGACTTATTCATCCTATAGGAGTGGGAGTAGAAGTGTGTGTCTGTGTGTGTGTGTGCGCGCGTGTGCGTGTGTGTGTGTGGTGGGTGACTTCAGTTTTACCTCCTCAGGGGACTGTTCCCGATTGGAGATGTTAAACTTGCTTTCACATTAAAAATGTCAGTAATTGTAGCGTAACTAGCGCAGGAAACTTTTCCGGGCTTCATATAATCTCAATATTTCACATGACTGTGGTATGTCGAATTTGCTGGACTCACAGTCATAGTTCTCTGGAGGGCTGGTGAATAAGAAATAATTATTTCAATAGAAAACCTTTGTGTTTTAGTGTTCTTTCAATAAGGGATAGACGAGCATTTGATCTTGTTGTTTAATTCATCACACACCCGTGCAGATTTTGCGACTCCTTAAAAATGGTATTGCACGTGCATACATTTTGACGTGACGTCATTAGCGTTATACAAAGAAAGTGTAAAGACGAGCTAAATGTTATCGTTATACTATAGGCGTAACAACGATGACTCTTTCTTCATTTTAAACGGTCTTTGTTTTAGGTATGTGATAAAAAAGAATATTAAATCCGTGTAAGTTCATTACTGAATTTATTTTAATAATATTATGCACGTCAGAGGCTCGCAAAAAGGAGATGTGATTAATTGCATATTAAGTTGTTTGTCTTTCATGGCAGGGACAGCTCGTTTTCATCCCATCTTTGACCTCTTAAGACACCGGTATATGAGCCGCGTCACGACAAAACCAACATAATGAGTTTGCGACCAGCATGGATCCAGACCAGCCTGCGCATCTGCGCAGTCTGATCAGGATCCATGCTGTTCGCTTACCAACCCTATTACAAGTAGCAAAACTGATAGCGAACAGCATGGATCCTGACCAGACTGCGCGGATGCGCAGGCTGGTCTGGATCCATGCTGGTCGCAAACGCACTATGTTGGTTTTGTCGTGACACGGCTCATATTTCTTAATACATCATGGATATAGCCAGTACTTTTTATTGTAGAATACGTACATGTACTCTGTTACTGAGCAAACTATTCAGTTTGATGTAATAGAAAAAGTTATATAGATTATAATATGATGCGAGAATATTTTCTGAAGTTATCATATGATATCATTATATGAATTGATACTGTTACCAGGAAGGGTATCTTAATTTCTGCCTAAATTGTATGCAGTCGGTCTTTTTTATATTTCCTCCGAAAGTCTTCTATAACTTAAAATATGATTTTAATAATATGTCCTACATTGTAATAAGTTTTTCATATTTTTTACGTTTTTATATAATGGCATAATTATACAATATTGTATTAAGAAAATAGAATATTTTTGGACTACATCAATTAGGCTTTTCTCATTTATAAGTTATGTATATGACTGTATTTCAAAGCTCACTTTTGTAAGCTGTATATGCTTTCCCAAGTCTTTTGTGAAAACATTGAATACTTCTTTAAAAAAGTTTCCTTATGTGTATTTTTTGGACCGCGTGTTACTCATGTCATGAAGAATTAAATATTGAATAGTTCAGGGAATTCCAAGCTTTGTACTAGCTACCACACATTTTTATGGAAGCGTCCTAGTGCCAAACCTGAAATGTTTTTATGTCATAATTAGTAGATAGTAAGTGCTAATTAGTAGAAAGTAAGTGCTAATTAGTAGAAAGTAAGTGCTAATTAGTAGATAGTAAGTGCTAATTAGTAGATGCAAAGTCATAATTAGTAGACAGTAAATACTAATTAGGAGATAGTAAGTGCTAATTAGTATATACTAAGTCATAATTAGTATATAGTAAGTACTAATTAGTAGATACTAAGTCATAATTAGTAGATAGTAAGTGCTAATTATTAGATAGTAAGTGCTAATTAGTAGATACTAAGTCATAATTAGTAGATAGTAAGTACTAATTAATAGATACTATGTCATAATTAGTATATAGTAAGTACTAATTAGTAGATAATAAGTCATAATTAGTAGATAGTAAGTACTAATTAGTAGATAATAAGTCATAATTAGTAGATAGTAAGTACTAATTAGAACATAATAAGTCATAATTAGTAGATAGTAAGTACTAATTAATAGATACTATGTCATAATTAGTATATAGTAAGTACTAATTAGTAGATAATAAGTCATAATTAGTAGATAGTAAGTACTAATTAGAACATAATAAGTCATAACACAGAATGCAAGCAGCGATTACAATATTATAACTTAGTATGTACTAATTAGTACTTACTATCTACTAATTATGACTTATTATGTTCTAATTAGTACTTACTATCTACTAATTATGACTTATTATCTACTAATTAGTACTTACTATATACTAATTATGACATAGTATCTATTAATTAGTACTTACTATCTACTAATTATGACTTATTATGTTCTAATTAGTACTTACTATCTACTAATTATGACTTATTATCTACTAATTAGTACTTACTATCTACTAATTATGACTTATTATCTACTAATTAGTACTTACTATATACTAATTATGACATAGTATCTATTAATTAGTACTTACTATCTACTAATCATGACTTAGTATCTACTAATTAGCACTTACTATCTAATAATTAGCACTTACTATCTACTAATTATGACTTAGTATCTACTAATTAGTACTTACTATATACTAATTATGACTTAGTATATACTAATTAGCACTTACTATCTCCTAATTAGTATTTACTGTCTACTAATTATGACTTAGCATCTACTAATTAGCACTTACTATCTACTAATTAGCACTTACTTTCTACTAATTAGCACTTACTTTCTACTAATTAGCACTTACTATCTACTAATTATGACATAAAAACATTTCAGGTTTGGCACTAGGACGCTTCCATACATTTTACAGGATCCATGCTGTTCGCTATCAGTTTCTCTATTTGTAATAGAGTTTGTAAGCGAACAGTATGGATCCTGATCAGACTGCGCGGAGGCGCAGACTGGTCTGGATCCATGCTGGTCGCAAACCCATTATGTCCGTTTTGTCATGACGCGGCTCATTTAATCTTTAATCATATCAGAAACATGGAGTTCAGTGGTACACTTAATTATTGTCGAATGTATAATATCAGATCTTTTGCTATGATATTCGTCTTTGTCGTGGGTATTTTCCGGACCTGTTCATTGGCACATACTAGGTTCAGTTGAAAAGAGGGAACAGAAAAAAAGAAACAAATCCCGAAAGAAACTTATGTTGAAAATACATGTCTTGTAGATTACTCCCCGTTACAAAAGAAGTATTTATGTTTTTAAACAAAAACAAAGCTGTCATAGTATGTTGATTCAAATATCCATATTTTAAACATAATAAGCATTAAAGAATTTACTATAAATATAATAAAATAATTAGATATTGAATATATTTTGTCTCTACGTTTACGATATTTTCTCGAATTCTGTTAAACATTAATAGAAACTATGATCTTTGTTTTAGACATAATGCCACACATGACAATCAATCAATAATATAAATCAATCAGTCAGTCAATCAATCAATCAATCAATCAAGTTAATTGACAATTATTTTTTTACCAATAATGAAGAACCACAGCTGAACAACAGCTTAACTTACATAACTTCGTGCCTTATAATCATTTTAATTTATTTATATTAAATGAAGGATTGGTAAAAAAATTAAAATTATTCGTTTCATAAGGATGCAAAGCACTCCTACTACATTTTATTAACTGAACCACTTCATGTTGATTACGTTATCAATAAATGACTGAATTAAATCCAACAGCGGTGACGACCAAGTGGTTTGAAGTAAACGACATTAATCACTCGGCCACGAACGCCCAGATCTGTTCATCTACACAATGCATGAAACAAATAAATAAAAAAAAATGTCCCACAAAACTTATACTTAATTACATATACAACATATGTGACGATGATAAATGTAATCAAAGAATCAATTGTGTTTCTTTTCACAGATCTTGGTTAAGAATGTAATTGTTGGTAGGTATGAACATTTGGGTCATCGTCCTGATAATTGCTCAACTGTTCGTAAACGTTACGACTAGCTGCTTGCTCCACTTCTCCTGTTTCGTCTTTATCTCTTCTTTCGTCATCCGATGATCCATTTCCCGTTATTTGTGCAACTGCTCGTATTATTTTCTCCCTAAAATACAAGCAGAAATATGAAGGACGGTAATTTTTACTTCAAATAAAGAGAGTTTCTAAATGTGACTTGCCGATATTTGATACAAGATAATGTGCTGTTTATATTGCAATTGGTGGTCGGTTGCGACCATTTCAAAAACCACGAGAAATTTTATCGTTTTGTCATAAAATGACGCGGGCAACTTACAAACCCGCGAGATTTTCTGCCGAATTATAGGCCGCGACTTTTTGTTCCTCAACAACAGTCTCATAAAATATCGCGGTGACTTTTTGAAACATTTCTCGGCATGAATACTCAATGTCGAGGCTTGGTGCTTAATCCCGACTTTTTACAAGGTATGCATCAAAACAAAATACCGCAGATTATGATGGCCATAGTCAGCTACCTAAAATGGGCATGTGTTTGCGTGGTTAAGTCTTCTATGTAGCCAGAAAATGTCGCGGTTTCCTTCGTAAAACTTGACAGAAATGCGACAGAATAACTCAAGAGTTTCTGTAAGCCGCGCCACCGTAGTTAATGTACTTAATAAAGTAGGCCCATTATTCCCTCTATATATTCAAATGATATTTTTCTTCTATACATTTGTATCTATTCAAGACCACATTCCATTTATGAAAGTTTATCACTTAATATTAACTTATTAATGTTATTATGGTTCTCATTGCTCCTGTTAATATGGTGATTATCCTACATATATGGCATGATTAACTACTTCCTAGCCGCACACAGTGGGTTCGAATCCCACTAAGAGGCATTGGTCATGTGAGGAAGCTATCCTGCTAGCTGACGTAACGTAGGCAGTTCTACTAAGATGCCTGTTCATACCCAAACAATGCAAGGAGCACCTGAGGTCTTCCTCCTCAAGTAAAGCTGGAAAATCGCCATATAATTTGTACGGTACGTGTTGCTGAGACGTAAGTCCCAACCAAAAAGAGTCACAATATACCTGTCCTGATTATCTGATTCGATGTCTTCATACATATGATAATTTCCTCCGACTTGCTGATAGGCCCCGCCTATTTCATCGTAGTTAACAGGCACCATGTATACGCTGTCATACCCATTGATATCAATGGCTTCTGTATTCGGATTACTTCGTGGACTTTGCGACGACAAGGCTTCCTTTCCGTTACATTTACGCCTTAAGAGAAAAGCAAAGCAATCCATTGGTTGTGTTTTTTTTATTGTTTTATATTGGAGGGATTATTAATTGCAGTAAACCTCAGATGTATAATATTTAATGAATTCTGAGTAAATGTATGTTATTTTATATTTACTACACTGATATGAGGTTTATTTGACATGAAGGGACTGGCGATAATTTTCCAAGATTAATGTACCATTTAATGTAGTTCCAGATCAAGAACTTGTTTTTAAAATTTCATATTATTCGCTCGCACCGCTTGTCCAGAATAAGTATTCTAATTACGAAAACTGACCCAAAATGGAAAAGCGTTACAACACTTTTCACTCAAATCGGGCGAAGAATACCACAAATAGACGATTTTCAATTTATTCCTGAGTATATTTACTAATTATCCTTGTACACTTTTCTGTTTTAAATGCCCCAGTTGATCTATGTAAGAAATTTAGATTTTATGTTTTTATGGTTTTAGACCTAAGTGGAGTTCCTAGGATGTTATACATTTTTAAATAACAGACCGTTGATAACAGACAAAGCTTTGTTAATTTGATACAAGAATGATAAAAGTGTTCATATTATGTCAAAGCATAAACACATTCTGAACGTGAAACACGCGATAAATAAATTGCTATAGGGTCTTGACTACAAATGATCATATTTCTTTAAACCTTAAAGATGATAATATGCCAATATGACATACAATATGTTTCCTTAATACTTTTTTATTGTCCCCCTCACTCCCTTTGCAATTTGTTCCCATGCAGGCGCAGCATTTACAATTGCCTGCCGTTAGGTCGAATTGGACCGAATACAATTAAATAATAATAAGAAGCTAGTCATAAAAAATAAACGATTCAAATAGCTCAAAAGGAAAAACAATATATCTCATTTTCTTGTGGCTGAGTTTTTTTATCACAGCGACCGACAGTGTTTAAAATGTTATGTGCACACATACACGAGTTGCTGGAACATTTGAAGTGAAACATTTTAAGTGTAGCATTTATGAATAAAAATACAAATTACAATCGTTAAAGGGTCAAAATAAGGGTGTAGTTAAAAATTATGATATCATGATATGATAGTAACTATTGCGATCATTTCAGAAAATCTACTAACTAAGAGTGATGTTTAAAACATCATCATTTTATGTAATTTCGAGCAAACATTTGAAGGTAAGTGCACACTTTTCGTCAATAAATATCTCGAGAAGCATAAGGAGACAGTTAAAGCTAGAGCAAATTAAAGTTTCAGTAAATGTCAATGCTTCGCTATGCATTTCACGTGCACATATTACCGGGACACTTTTTGCAGTCAGTTTTTTACAAGGTACCCTGTGCCACGCATAATAAAAACGTGCAACAATAGCGCGTGCTCACGTTATTGACGCCGCGTGCACGCGGCGGCTTGTAAATATGCATTTGTTTAGCATTGTGGAAAATTTTAGTCTTGCTTTTGTTTATTATTATTTTGTTTGAACAAAATTACACAGTTTTCAGATTCTCTAATAAAAAAGGTTTTCTGATGTACAGCATGTCACCGAGCTTTCAGGAATTAAAGTAAACGTTTAATTTAAGTTGTAGTGCCATGTTTGAATATCATATTCTATCTATTTTTATCTTTTTTATTTACTTAGTAAATAACTTGTCAATGAGCCAGTCTATATTTTAATGACGGGAACCAAATTTTGACAGAAACCAAGGGTTAGAATAGGCAACAGAAATTTTTTGGCGCAGGGGGCGCAAAGTAAGCCTATTCGTGAAAATAATTAACATTTAAGAAATAAAACAGATTAACTTAGTGAGTTTGTTTCAAAATGTATCAAAAATATTTGCAATAGATTGTTTTGAAGGAATCTGTGCTTGCAAAATGGCCGCAAAATGGACACATTCTTGGTGAAACGGAGGTTATTTTCTATAAAAGGAACAATGTATGGTTATAAACAACAATTATCAAAATAAAATGATTTATATATTTCAGATGCAGTATCAACAAAAAAGTTTGTTGTAAATTTCAATAGGAAAATATTTTCTTTTAATGTTCTGGATGGTTATACATGTCTACGAAATAGACTTATTTGGGATCTTAGCGCAACGGAGATAATTTTGTATTAAGATCAAAATGAGTGCTTATAAATTACAATTTTTTCTACATATTGAATTCGAAATCATTATGGAAGTTTGTTTTAAAATTCATTAGTAATTTTTTTTTTGTTTTTGATTTTTAATGTTTTGAAGGATTATAATATTATATGCCAGCAAATGGACATTTTTTTCGGCGCAACGGAGATATTTTTCTTAAACTCTGTCTTTGTCTTGAATTTATTTTAAGTACACCTGTTATCCAATTTATTTTGCTTCGTCCAGACCTTTCAATTTTGCGCAACAGACAAACATTTCAGAATTGCAAACACGGAATTACTTTGTGAATTTATGCATTAGGTTCTATTTTTTTTTCTCACAAAAATATGCAACTTATTAAACAACAAGCACATACCAAGAAACATGAATGAGTGCTTCTGATATTCAACAGTAATAAAGATAAATTGTCAAGGCTGATCTTGCACATTACATTTGACTGTTCACATCATTTGGGAACGTCTTTGATGTGCAACATCAACATTATTTATCTTGTTATATCCATCAATATATGTTTTTTTTTCTCTGCGTGCATAGATTTTATTCAAGTTCAAATATTGATCACTATTTTGATTCTACTTCTTAAATTTGACCACTGGACCTAGGTCACCGTGTATATCCAGTAACGACGGAATGTGAAAATAACGCACAATTCGTGCAATAAGTAACGCAGAATTGTGCAATAAATGGCGGCTACCTACGGGATTTCCAACGCGGTAAGTAAACTGGCCAATATATTTTTTATTTAACCGAACTGAAAAATATCAATAGCTGCAAACGGTTGCAAAGACATTACTCTTTATCCCTCATCAATATTATTTCTACGAAATTGTTTACTTTTCAAGCTCATTCGTGAAAATGATGACTTGACTACCGTTTTGAGCGAGATTTTGGCTTTTTGTCGACAATAAAAAGTACAATAATGCATATTACACCGTATAATTTTGATTTTGTGTGGGCAAGTGACTTTAAATGAACTTCTGGTGATATAAAAATTTGAAATAAGCTGATAAAATGGGATGCAAGTCGTTTTTATGAGGTAACGCCGATGTACGTAAATAGTGCTAAATTGCGGTAACGTCGGAAAATGTGATTTTTTCATATATGGTACTGAACTGTTACACAGGTTTAACGCCATTAATCGGCGAGTATCAGCACTTTTCAATATAATAATATAAGTCTTTGTTGAAGTGAGTACGAAGCAATGCATGAAATATTTCTTACTCAAAGAAACAACGGGGTAACAACGGGGTAGCAATTTCTCAATATCTATTGAGATGGTAGTTATGAAAGTAGTGAGCAAATGGTCACTCTGTATGGATGTGACCTGGCTGTGTACTGATGGCCCTTTTTAGGGTCATTAGTCCTGTTAGTTTTGTAAACGTCTATAATAATGCCTAGAATAAACTTTTACGGTAGATTCATATGGTTTTCCCATACAAAATAACATATAATAAGAAACCCTAAGAGTAGGGTAAATCTTTACCCCAAGGGTTATAATTTATTTAACTTTAGCAGATAACAATAAGGTTATGCTTTTACAAGCTTTGGGCATTATATAGTGTCTAAGTAAAATATCTTTTGAATACAAGTTACTTCCTTACATAAAAGAAAATATAAATTAAATAAATAATCCATTTTCACAGAAGTTAACCAGGCAAATTGCTACAGCCAAATATTTGTATTGGTTTGGTTACACATCACGCCAACACAAAAAAGACCTATGGATACTTTCAAGCTTTACTGGTGCATTATTTCAGGCATAAAATAAACTGACACTTCTTCTCTTGATTGTTTTCTAGATCTATTATTTTTATATTCAATTTATTTGCAAACTAAGTTTATTGTTCTTATTTTCTAACAAGATCAGATGTGGGCAGCATGTTCACAAATAATAATTTTTTTTCAGGAAACAATTGTCAAATTGTACTAAGTTACAATTTGCAATCAAAATGTTGAAAGTTTGTCAAGATCGAATTATCATATATTTGAAGAATATACATTGACTATAGGTTGCAAATAACTTGATTATATTTGCCGATAAAAGGCGTTAAACCTGTGTAATAATTCTGTACCATATAAGAAAAAATTACATTTCTTGCGTTACCGCGAACACGATTCACGTACATCGGCGTTACCTCATAAAAACGGCTTGAATCACTTTTTATCATTTTATTTTCAATTTTCTATATCACAAGAAGTTAAGTTTATGTCACTAGCCTATTGAAAATCTAAATTATACCGAATAATATGCATTGTTGTGCTTATAAGAGCGGACAAAAAGCCAGAATGTCGCTAAAACGGTGGTCAAGCAAACATTTCACGAATGATCTTGAAAAGTAAACAATGTCGTGGAAATAATCTTGATAAGGGATGTAGATTTCTGTCTTCGCAGCCGTATGCGGCTATTGATTTTTTTTCAGTTCGAGTGAATAAAAAGATAGTGGCCAGTTTTCTTACCGCGTTAGAAATACTGTCAGGTAAACGCCATTCATTGCACAATTCTGCGTTACTTATTGCACGGATTGTGCGTTATTTTTACATTCCGGCGTAACTGGATATACACGGTGTAGGTAGAACACTTAACTCCTTGGAGCTAGTTTAAAAGTATACTTCAAGAAAACATGTCAAAGGCTTACTCACCTTCTCACAGAATCAATAACTACAGCCAGTAATATTACATTGAGTAGTACAAGCCCAGCTATCATTCCAACAAAAACAGCTAAAAACAAAAGCATTGCATGAGATGTTATCGAAGCCATTTTGTTTTATAAATGTTATAAGTTTAAAAGGGACATAAATCTCTAAAAGTTAAACCTTCAAGATAATGTCCATTATCTTAAAGCAGCACGCCTCCAGATTCGTGCTAATTTTCATGAAAATTTTGAAAATGTATTTGAATGTGTGATATTATGAAGTAGCCAAAAGGGAGCAATTTACACATTATCAATGTCACTTTACAAACTACGTAAATTACCAAAAAGTGGTCAAAATATTCATAAATAGCCTTTACTGCGTTAGTAACACAGTAGAAATATAGTTGTAAATACTGAAAAATCAGTCATAAATCGCACATAATATGTATCTTGAAACGTCGTTTTACTTTTCCTTTCATCTGAGTACGTTTTTCTCAAGTTTGATTTTATTGAAAAAGTGGCTCATCTGGAGGTATGTAGCTTTGTTACATAGCTTTAAACTGTGCCTTGTCATGATTATTAAGTATTACCAGTTTCAGCTTTGATGGTGTTTTAAAATCACCATTCTTATACATAATTCTAAACCAAAAAGTTAATAACTTCAAATATAAGTATAGCTTTCAAAATAATGCCACTTGTCTTTCAACTCTACGCATGCGCACGATATATTATATATGTGCAGTTGCTAGCGTGTGTGAAGATTTGATTCATCTCACAACAAGCCTAAATTAATCGAGTCTGTCAGTACTTCATTTTATGGGGATGTGGAGAAATCGTTATATGTGTTTTCGCTCCGCGCCCCCGCCATTTTAATATGTTAATTATCGACTTTTCTCTTGGCGGGGCGCGGAGGGAAAACACACTAATTAGCGAGGGCGCGGGGCGCGGTTAAATTAATAAAACTTCGTCCCGAGGGGGCGCAGAGTGAGCTATAAGAAATAAGACGGCGGGGTCGCGGGACGAAAACACGCTAATTAGCGCGGGTGTGGGGCGAAGTTTAATTAATAAAACTTCGCCGCGCGCCCCCGCTAATTAGCGTCTTTTCGTCCCGCGACCCCGCCAAGAGAAAAGTCGATAACATATTAAAATGGCGGGGGCGCGGAGCGAAAACACGACTATTAGCGGGGGCGATAATAAGAGTGTTTTCGCTCCGCGCCCCCGCCGTTTTATTTCTTAAATCTCGTCCCGCGCCCTCGCTAATTAGCGTGTTTTCGTCCCGCGACCCTGCCGTTTAAACTTGTTAATTCTCGACTTTTCGCTTGGCGGGGTCGAGGGGCGAAAACACGAATGACACAAATCAGCCACCATAAATCGTCCTATTTTGTTTGATTTATTTAAATCTACATATATATTGATAACATAGTATATCTTACCCGTGTCAGACCGTGCAGCATCTTTATTGTGCTGACTATTTTCTTTGGTATTGTCCTGTGATGCGCATTCAGTTGGTGTCGGTACCGAACTTGTTGCCCGTGCCGTTGTAGTTGATGCTCGTGCCGTACTAGTTGATGTCCGTGCCGTACTAGTTGATGCCAGTGCCGTAGAAGTTGATGCCTGTGCCGTACTTGTTGATGTCCGTTCCGTACTAGTTGAAACCGGCGCCGTTATAGTTGATGCCTGTGCCGTACTAGTTGATGCATTGGCCGTACTAGTTGATGCATTGGCCGTACTAGTTGATGCCCCGGCCGTACTAGTTGATGCTCGTGCTGTACTAGTTGAAACCGGCGCCGTTATATTTGATGCCTGTGCCGTACTTGTTGATGCCCGTGCCGAACTAGTTGATGACCGTTCCGTCCTATTTGATGTCCCGGTTGTACTAGTTGATGCTCGTGCCGTACTAGTTGAAACCGGCGCCGTTATATTTGATGCATGTGCCGTACTAGTTGATGCATTGGCCGTACTAGTTGAAACCCGTGTCGTACTTAATGAAACCGGCGCCGTTATCACTGCTTTCGGCGTACATGAAATATTCAACACATAAATGTTATCATTTCCTTAAAAAAAGATTAGGTTTATTGATGATAAGATGTTTCAAATATGCGTCGCAAAATGCATTAGATGTAACAACAAATTTATTTTGAGTGCGATATCACATACTAAGTTTTGAATTCTGATAAGCTGCTAATTCAAGTTCTGTAAATAATCAAAATAACAAATCATTCAATCCGCGATGGCGTTGAATGGAATCATTGCATATCCACATAATATTCATCGCATAAATTTAAACAAAAATGTTCGCAACACATCATTTTTTTATGAAATACTTGATCTATTAATTTATTATTCGCTTGTTGTCGTGAAGTAACTTGCCTCAAATTTATAGGACGATTAAAAGTCATTTGGAACACCATTTCATATATCGATTATCAACACATTCATTCATTCATTCATTCATTCATTCATTTTGTCGTTCATTCGTTTGTTCGTGCGTCTATCCACACGCGTTTATGTAACATTAAAGGATGAATGACCGAGTTTACCTTCACCTTACAGACATTGATTTTAGTTATCCAAGTAAATAAAAGAAATAACCTCATGACGTCATCCGTCTATCCAAAATGCCCAAGCCCGCTCATTAATGTTGGATGTTGGATACCCCACCCCTATCTGCCCCTGGACCCCTACTGCAATCTTGATAAAAAAATCAAGACTTTAAGGCTTACTATAAGGTACCAAAGACAAAACCACCGATAATTTTTTTTTCACAATCAAAATTATAGAAATATTATATTATATAGAAAGGTGAAAAGCCTACTGTATGTTCATTTGCCAAACAATGTGGAACACGGGAAATCGTCGTTTTGGCGACTGAGGCGCATTCCGAAGGCATTTCGCTGCATCATTCATTAACATATAAATAAAAAGAACTTGAATTCCAAAGCTTATCTAATTCAAGTCCAACGAATATCAATATAATTCCGATTTTTTTATGGTTCACGGTATTTTTTGAATTCTTGTATCCATTTTGCAGTCTGATACCGGGGTTGAAATACGCGATGTGATTGGACGAGCCAAATTGGACGTCCAATCACAACGCATTTATCACACAGGTATCAGAATCCAAAATGGCAGCGACAAGTAAAAAAATTCCGTGAAACAGAAAAAAAACTTGATAGAATATTTTTTTAATTTTATCGGTGGCTTTGCATTTGGTACCTTATAGTAAGTCGTAGAGTGTTGGAATATTTTTTTCAAGGTTGTAGTAGGGGTCCAGGAGCAAATAGGGGTGGGGTGTCCAAACACTGATACCGCCACCTGTGCTTTTACAACTGATAAAAAAACTAGAGCATGTGTTTCTATTCTTCTGTCACCACTGACCTTTGCAGCTGATAGGAAAGGTGATGCTAGACATGAATGCACAAATGATGACGTCACATTAGCAGGTAATTGGTTGTTTTGGGTTTGATATTCGACTAACCAACTATCTACATGCCATGAAAGTTTGTTATTTTTAATTTCCAACTGTTTAACAGCTGGAAGTTGGTAATTTTATCTGCTATCACCAACATAAAATGCTCGAACACATCATTCTTTTTTTCTGAACACAAAATAAAGCAGGTGACCTAGTTGAACAAAAGGTATTTAGTTATTCGGAATTTGCATATCTTCAGCTCAAGAATAAAAGTATTTTTTGGAATAAATGTAACACATTTACAACAAGACAGGTGTATTTTACAACATTGTTACACCCCCTTCTCGCTACACAATCAGTGGACTCAGTTGGTTTTGTAATGTACTCTGCTCAAAATACAATTTTTTTTTCCGGAATATATGGATTGTATATATATTCTACAACATTGTAACATCTCCGTCCACCTACATTCACCAGGGAACTCAGTTGGTTAATTGCGTGTACCCCCAACTACCAACCAGAGGGTAGTTAGAAATTAGAACTTTGCACGTATTACTGTTAGGAGCAGTAGTCCAGTGGTAGGACGCGCGCTTAGGGATCGAGAGGTCCCGGGTTCGAACCCCACCAGGGGCACTGCTAATTTCCTTGAGCAAGAAATTTACCTGCGATTGCTTCACTTCACCCAGGTGTAAATGGGTACCTGCGAGGGTGGTATAATTCCGTTGCGCCAAGTGTCGGCTGCACTAAGCGGAGTTAAAAGACTCCCCAGGGAGATTGATAGATAGATACAAGTAGCCCGATGACCAGGGGTAATAGCTGTAAAGTCGGTGAACGTGCGTAAGCATGAAACTTAGACTATAAAATGCAATTACTTACTGTTAAAGAAGAAAAGTATGTTTTATAACAAGATAGCTATGTTAATATTCTACAAGATGGTAACACCTGCTTTCTCCTGCATCTATGGTTAATCCGATGAATCCCATACTACCAACCAGAAGATAGTTTTTGCGTGTACTTCAATGAAAGCTGAAAGTTTCATTCAGGTAAAGTTATAATGGATCTATAACCACATAAATGTTTTTCTACAACATGGTATCATGGACTCGGATGGGTATTCGCGTAAATCCCAAATTACCTACCGATAGGTAGTTGGATACCGGATTTCGTATAATGGTATTGCATGTATCCCCTACCAAAAAAACAACAACAACAAAAAATACGCACACAAACTCACACAAGCACGAACGCACGCACGCACGCAAGCAAGCAAAAACGCACCAACACATTCACGCACTCGAAAAAAGAATTAAAGAATAACGAGCTATCTTTTACTTTGTTGTTTTCTTAATAGAGAGAAATTATATTACCTTTAAACATCCATATTAGTAGAAATGTAAATAGCACAGCTCGTATAAATGTTGCCATTTGATTTCACAAAGAAGTATCAGCCTTTTCCTCAACTCAAATAGTTCCTTTGTTATTTTATAGCAAGGTGTAGAAAGTCTTCTGTTGGATAATATCTTCTAATATCTTCTCATATACAGTTTTGATCTTAAACGGGTTTAAAGTATATACATGTATATCCTTCCGACAATTAAATAATGATGGTGTCTTCCTCTGAACCAGATTTTAAATCTGATAGTGTTAATATTACATATTCCGGTGTTGCCGGACTTGAGTGTGCAAAGGATGACTTTAGTCACATGCGAGTAAAGTCTGAACACATTTCTTTGTTATCTTAAAGGCCCATCATGCCTCAGATATGAATAAAAGTTTAGTTCTTTAGAAAAGGCAAATGAGCCGCGTCATGACAAAACCAACATAATGGGTTTGCGACCAGCATGGATCCAGACCAGCCTGCGCATCCGCTTAGTGAAACCAACATAATGGGTTTCGTGACCACATGGATCCAACCAGGCCTGCGCATCCTGCGCAGTCTGATCATGAATTCATGCTGTCGCTAGCAGTTTCGCTACTTGTAATAGGGTTTGTAAGCGAACAGCATGGATCCTGATAAGACTGCGCGGATGCCCAGACTGGTCTGGATCCATGCTGGTCGCAAACCCATTATGTTGGTTTTGTCATGACACAGCTAAAATATGAATTTAATTACGTTTAAATAATGGTTTCAAAGCTATTAGACTTGAGAAAAATAGCGCTAAATGTGAGCAAATGTGTCATACAGGTAGCAAAATGTAAACAAAGTAGTATTTTGACTTCCATACAGAATACCAAATCACTATAACTGTACGACTTTACAAAAGCAAAAGAAGAAAGGAAATGGTTCAGAACATTGGCCAATGAGTAACTAACTACATGTATTTGGAAACTGTACACCAAAAATAAAAGGCCTTTGAGAAATAAAATAAAGCAGTACTGAAGCCTACTGGGCCCTTAAGTTACAAACGACAACTAATGTACAGTCCAATGTAAGATAAAGACAAACACATAAATTTCATCACTCCTCTATATCAACAAAAGATTTTTAATTTTTATTTGTTTGGGTCGTCAGACCAAACAAATAATGGTAGCGGAATTTCAGACCCTGATGTTCTTATTTGCGAATGCCGAAAGTAGTCCAAACTACTCGAAGCGGTTACTTCCCTTCATATGTACATTAACGCCGAAAAATCAAATGACAGGCGCATTCATTTTCGTAACGGAAAAAAAAGTTCCCGATTGGTCGAATATTTCTAATATTGTGTTATTCTATTAGATATACATGTATATGGTTATATTCAGCTCCATGATTATTTACTTCAGTGTTAAACAACAGGTTTACCGTGAACAAAATAATTATATCGAAATTAATTAGGGTTACAAACTCTAATTAAGAATAAAATGGTATTCTTCAGGCTGTTCTTTTATAACTCCCTGTGGTCGAGGGGTTTACTCGCTCGCATTAGAAGCGAGAGGTGCGGAGTTCAAATCCCAGTTCAGCCAACTCATGTTTTTTGTGTTGTTTTTTTAAATTGATTAAGAAAAATAAACATTGAATTGAATATCAGTGTTGCAATTAGTCTTATAGCCAATATACTATAGTTATAACACTGGAAACAGAATTTGGTGACACTTTACAAACAAATTGGTTTATAATCTCACAACCTTTCACCTTTCCCAAAAGTTACTCATTGGGTAATTACCGAAATTATATGTGGCTTCTGTTGCCATTTGGCAGTTAGTGCAATTATTGGATACAATAAAGTATTTTGTATGGAAGTCAAAATAGAAATTTGTTTACATTTAGCTACTTTTTAAAACTTTAACATTAATAATTTCACATTCAGTTCTTCTCTACTTTCTGTAGGTGTTTATAATCTACCATGCCCCTACACCATTATTAAACCATGATAAAACTCATGTTTACCATTTGTAAAGAAGGAAATATTTATTCGTTTCGAAGGCACAATGTGCCTTTAAGCTAGAAATTAATAAAAAAGGAAAAATAAAAAAAAGTGAAGATATCTTGTTATTAGGATTTATTTGCTCAAACGGACTCCACTCAGGTTTCTTGACATGACATGACTGGAAATATGTTCTCGAGATTTGTGTACCATTTGATGTAGATCTGAACTAATAACATAACTGCAAACTTTCAGATAATCCCCTCACCCCGTTTTCCAGCGCAAAATGAGCTAAAAATGAAAAGCGTTGTAACGTTTATCTAGCAGCTAAATGCTGCAGCGAGAGTGAAGGCAGAATTACCGCACAACATTTTGGGTAATGTCTGACTGTAGAAAAAGTTGTATCTGCATTTTCGCTTTGCATTCTCGTAAATATTTGAAGTATTTTTCTATTTCTTATGAGATTTATTTCATATTCAGTCAAACAAATTTATATCATGTTTTTTTTTTATTTATGCTAATACTTGGGTTTAACCTATAACTCACAGTATATCGCTTACCGATTATTGTATATATTCTATGCGTGAGTTTGTAACTCTACATGCTATTCAATTGAGTCCATTTTTTATGTCAAATATCTGTTATTATTATTATTTCACTAAAATATTTAAAAAAAATACGCCGCGATGATGGCTATAGGGTAGAATAAATAGAGGATATTTGTTTAGTTCAGTGTAAGAGCACCAAAAGGTATATTTCACGAGTGGCGCAGCCACGAGTGAAATATGAACTGTTGGTGTTCACAAGGTGAAATATATTTCAATCTTACACTAAACTAAACAAATTTTCTTTTTATTACATGCAAAGAAACGTTTTAAAAAGACATTAAATGTAATACTGAATGAAAAGCGCGCCAAATTATAATACAACGTGACGTCATTTACGACGTCACGTCAATAAGTTGGTACCCAGTTCTGTGCACGCTGGTATTTCACTGAAACAAGGTAAGGGGCTTAAATTCAAAACAGTGAAATTATCAAAGTGGTAATTTCACTGTTTCAAACAGTGAAATTACCAGTTTTATTTCACTGATATATTTCTATAAACCACCGAAAAGCATGTAATAAATGTTGTTATTATATATATATAGAGGATATTTGTTTGTTTGTGTGTAAGATGAAATTTTATTTCATCGAGTGGGCTTTAAAAACAGTATTCTCACGAGTGGCGTAGCCACGAGTGAGAATACTGTTTTTAAAGTTCACGAGATGAAATACAATTACATCTTACACAACAAACAGACAAATTTTCTTTTTATTTTATGCTTAAAACAAGTTAAAACGAAATTTCCATAATTTTAACGTTAATATTAAAATCTGTTTCCCCCATTGAGAGCCCCATTTAGACGGAATTTCTCATTTAAAACAAGAAGTCTTGAGCTGAAAAATAAGTCCGCCAATCACGGTTAAATGACGGTGATATTTATTCATTTTATTAAAAAAATATGAATGATCGCTTGTTTTAATAATAAAAACAAACAATTCTTGTAGGAGAAAAAGTCCAACCATCCATCCATATTTCTGTTACTTACTGCGAATTTATATTAGACCTGGCTTTGTAAAATGTAAGCGGCAGCCATTTTTTAAAGTTGTGTATTTCATGGGAGGAAAATAATTGTGTAAGATTCAGAAGGATATAATTTGGATTTGTTAGTCATACACCTTTTTAAAAGAAAGAAAAGTTATTTGAGGATTGTAACAGACAAAAAATAAGTGTTGACAGAAGTGAAAACATTCAGAAAAGGAGCTAGGAAAATGGAAAACTTGGAAGCTTGCGTAAGGACTTGAAGGAAAGCTGGGTAGTTTTACTTATTTTACGAGTGATGGCTGTCAATGCTTTTCAAGTTTTCATAAAGCATACGGCAGTTATTGCTCGTAAGATACTTCAATATGCCCAAATGTCATCAAGAGCAGTTTTGCTGGAAGGAATGTATTTTTCAGACTGTAAAAACAAACAAAAAAATTTAGAGACAAAATTTGGTAATTGGAATTTGAAGGAATAGAAGTAAGTTTTCTCTCTTTATTACTTTTGACATTTAAGTTATCTATCTATTTCTGCTTTGCTATTTCTTTTAACAGCCTGACATTGTCAGAATTGTCAGTAAAAATAAAATTGAGGTACCACATGGGGAAAATCTTAAAAAAGTAGTTTCGTCATTGAAAAAAGTGAAATTATATTTTGATAATTTTCACTGTGAAATTATCAAATATAATTTTCACGGATAAATCAGTAATCCACTGAAAAGCATAAAATAAACATGTATAATCAATCAAACCGAACACTTTTCACTGTCCCTCATGAACAGATTCAGTCAAACCAAGTACATTATTCTATCTCTTATTAACGGACTCAAACAAACTATTTCTTTATACTTTCACTCATGAACAAACTCAAGCAAACAAGTACTTTATACTATTTCTGATGAGCGGACTCAAACAGACAAGTACTTTATACTATCTCTGATGAAAGGACTCAAACAAACCCATATTTTATACTATCACTCTTGAACAGACTCAATCAAACAACGTATTTTATACTATCTCTAAGGAACTGACTAAAACAAACCGAGTACTTTATACTATCTCTAATTAACGGACTCAAACAAACTATTACTTTATACTTTCACTCATGAACAAACTCAAACAAACAAGTACTTTATACTATCATTCATAAATAGACCCAATCAAACCGAGTACTTTACACTTTCCCTCATGAACAGACTCAATCAAAACGAGTACTTTACACTATATCTCACCAAAGGACTCAAACAAACAAGAACTTTATACTATCTCTGATGAACGGTCTCCAGCAAACAAGTACTTTATACTCTCCCTTATGAACAGACTTATTCAACCCAAGTACTTTATACAACCACTCATGACTGGACTCAAACAAACAAGTAATTTATACAATCACTCATGACTGGACTCAAACAAACAAGTACTTTATACAATCTCTCATGACTGGACTCAAACAAACAAGTACTTTATACTATCTCTCACGAACAGACTCAGTCAAACTGAGTACTTTATACTATCTACCATGAAAAGACACAGAGTACATTACATTACCTCTCATGGACCGACTCGAACAAATCGAGTCTGAAAATTTTACCTTTTTAAATGTTGTTTTCATTACTATCGAAGGATCTCTCTTTTTACATTTTTTCAATATAATTATGTATAGAAAACATTATTTCAGTGGCCTCAATAATTTAAATTTGAACGGAAGTTACTTATAACAATTTAAGGAGGACATTATATTGTCTTAAGTAGGAAGACGTTTCCACGTTTTCAAATATAGATTAACAATAGAAGATGTTACATCTATTCAAAGCAAATAAAATATATGAAACTTTGAATTATTCAAGAGATACGTAATAATGTGGCATTGATCATGCATGATTTTGGTACGACACAATGACGATATTTATCCGCATAGTTTTATCATCATTTATCCAAATATGGATCTTTCAAGGTAATATATTGTTTCTATTTGTATCTCTTCTTAGATATTATAATTTTTTTAAATAAGGGTGTTAGCATGGAATATATTGTTAAATGACGCTTATAAATAAAATAATAAAGAAATGGACTATTTTACGACCTCCTTCCGTTATGGTACGATGGTGAAATGCGGTTGTACGTATGATGGAAAAATGCGATAGTACGGTGGCACGATGGTGAAATACGATTGTACGGTGGCACGATGGTGGAATGCGATGTTACGATGGCACGATGATGAAATGCGATGGTACGGCGATACGATGGTGAAATGCGATAGTACGGTGGCACGATGTTGGAATGCGTTTTTCATTAACGCACACTCGTAACAGCGAATGCATAGTAAACATGATGTTATCTTGCAGCTTGAAATGTTATCAGTTTTTAACAATGTTTCCGATATTGTAATTTGAGATGATGTTGTACTTAATTGATTTCCTGTCGAATGCGTTTTAGTCCACTAATAATGTAATCTACTAGTAATTTCTACATCATATCTACTTGAAGTAGTTCAATAATAATTATTTTAGTAAAATAATGTATAAATTGGTACTCGTTAAACAAATAATATAACGCTATTATGCACCAAATTGGTTTTACTTTCAATTTGTTCCTTTGCTAAATACTTTCTGGGCAACATGAACAAAAACATAACCCAATTTTAAAGATTGAGGACACTAGATTTCTCGTTTTTAATAATCAAAACTTAATTACAGTTCAAGTTCATTTAAAAAGGAATCTGTATATTGAGATAATTATATTGAATATATATATATTTTATATATATATAACACTAATAATTAATCCTTCATATATTACCTATATCATATATCACGTATATTTTATTACAGTTGTTCACTTCGGGGCCATAAAGACCGAGTTGAGTGCAATTATTTCATCATTAGATTTTTCATACGCCACTATATCTTAATGAAATTTACATACAAAAAACTAAGGCTGTACTAACGTTGATATATATAAACAAATATTTGTTATTTTACAAAGGTGAAACATATGACAAAATAAAACCATTAAAATATATCATTTTGTAAGGACATATATGCATTTACTACTAACGCCTACGGCATGTTTAGAAGTACCAGCCTGAACATTTTTAAACGATTAGTCTAGTTGCGAGGCCTTTGTAGCCACAATTAAAATATAAACCACAGATGGTCTCATAGACCGATGCCGTAAATGTGAGATGTTGATCATAATAATTATAAATATAAAGAGCATTAATTAACAATAAAATGTCATTCGTCCAGTATATGCCTACAACCGGCAATAAGTCCAACGTAAGTTACTATATTGTATTACAGCATCCTCAAGGCATTGCAGTTGCATCAGGAATGGCATAGATCGCCAACCTACGGCTCGCATTGTTTTAAACAAACGTCGTTGATAGTTTTCCTACAGCGCCACAGGAGCGCTCAAAAGTCACAGTGCGAACGCTGTAGTTATGGCGCTCCACATAATATGTTATTTCGTTTTGCTCTTTATATAACAGTAAAGAGTTTCACAATTTTCATTAATTCGTCATCAAAATTAATGCGATTTGCAGAACATATTCTTATTATTTAAATTACCATTCAAGTGCATTGTTATAAAAGATTATGAATGAATGAATGAATGAATAAATGAATGAGTGGGTGAGTGAGTGAGTGAGTGAATGAATGAATGAATGAATGAATGAGTGAGTGAGTGAATGAATGAGTGAGTGAATGAATGAATGAATGAATGAATGAATGAATGAATGAATGAATGAATGAATGAATGAATGAATGAATGAATGAATGAATGAATGAATGGTTTCAGGTTTAAATGAGCGTAACAAAGTTGTCAATGACCTTTGATATCCTAATCATTATTCTAAATTTGATTTAGTAATTTACGTTGATTATTCTTGAATATTCCGATTATTATTTTAATAATGGTCATTCTGCTCATTTTATTATTTTAGGACTTGTGTTGTGTATTGTTAAGTATGATAAAAGCTGACAGTTATGTTTTTCTTGGAGAAGATTATGTATATTTTAAACAGGAATTAATTAATAACATTAACCTAGTAATTCCTTTTTAACATTAAAGTTAAAAATCTACGTACGACGTGATTTTCAAATGGTCTCAACAGAAATAATGCCAACAATGTAGATAATTTGTTTATACATTTCAGATGTTCTTTGCACATGTTCTGGGTGGTCCGACGTGAATACCAATTGTAAGTTACACTGTTTAAAACTTTACGGTCATACACCAAGATCACAGTAAAATCTTAACGTGTTGAAATAAAAAAGACAAATATTTAGGGCTACATTTAAACAGAAATAAGTGCAGGGAAGAAAACAAAAAAAAATATTCATTTGATTAAATATTATTAAATTAGAAATATCATTTTCTAGCAACGCATTACTGCAAACTAATCGTATTGTAATTATCACTATGTTCTTTATACAAAACGAACATCTTTATTTTATTTTTAATATCATATATAAGGTAGACATAATCAGGTTTAGTATTTTTCAGTCATCATGTATATGTGCACCGAGCAGACGTTATATGAAGTTATATCCTATATTGATTTGTCGAAAGTTCCAAATATCAAAAGATAGACTGTGAATGTACTATAACACCAGGCTATAATGCATCGGTATTTAGAATGTATTTTATGAAAGGTCCTGAAGCACACGATGTTCAAATGAATCTCAACGATGGTGTTTTAACTCCGAAGACATCACTACATACTACTCTTTCACAAAAATCCACGCTTCGTTTTTCTGCTTCTCAGCAAGGCAGTTGGGACGGCACATGTATATATGTTTATCAAGGTATTGATTATTAAAAACGTTTTTCATAATAATTGCTCCTCCATTTAAATTCGATTAATTATCATCGTTTTTTTATTTCTAACTTTTATTACATAGATATATAAGAGAGAGAGAGAGAGAGAGAGAGAGAGAGAGAGAGAGATAGAGAGAGAGAGAGAGAGAGAGAGCTAGAGTCCAAATTGTTTAACCATTATTTATCAAACTGAACAAATACATCAGTAAAAATAATAACAAGCAATCACGTATTTCATAAACAAATAATTTGATTGTATCTTATTCTTTTGAATTCTTTAAAGGGCAAGAAATGGATAATATTCACCCTTTCAAATTCACATGCACTGCACCTAGAATTTACAAAAGCACAGTCATCACATCGACAACGAGGAACATTCCGCAAAATGTAAAACGCTTTGACACAGGTGAGAAAAGTTGTAACAAGTTTTGACCCACATCAATGAATGCAATACATGGTGCTTGGTAAGCTTTTATAGCTTTCTGCCCGTCCCAAAATGTATCGAGTAAATATTGTTCATCATAAATAAGGCAATAGAAAATAAACAATAAACAACTAGATTCTCATCCAAATTTTAGAAAAAAATGGGGCGGGTGGGTGGATTTTATTTTCTATTTTTTATTTTGTATTCTCGGTCTGGAAATTACATGCGAGGAGGTCAATATTTGGGAATTAGTTCTATTATAAGCTATTTAGGTGCTTATATTATGTGTATGTATAGATTCAGATTGAGAATAGAAGCTACATGATAATATATCTTGATTGTTATGACCTGTTTTATTGAACCTTTCATATTCTGACATCAAGCAAATTGATGTTTTGGACAAAATAATAACCAATACATACATGTATTGTTACAAAATAAGACTGAATAAAGATGTACTATGCCTATGTCGATCAATATTACTTTTTTCTGGAGTGAAGTCTGTTAAAAAATATTTAATCAACCAATGAAGCTACACAAAAAAAATCCTATTTATTTATCACATAGCAAAAATAATAACATATAACCTATTGAAAATTTGGCAAAGAAAGTACAGAGATTTACCTATTAAAAATCGGCATCGTGAAAACATGTGACAAATAAAAAAAATGTCTGTTTCCTGCATAACCATTCACAATTCTAGTTGTTGTTCATTTTAATTTTATCAGATTAAATTTTTTATGATTATTCATTCTCTTTTTTAAAAAGGCATTGAAAAAAATAAATCCAAACTTGTAATTTACGGCAAAATTTACCGATGTTGTTTATGAACTGACAAGCTCACAGCTGTTTATCTGACTTGTCCAAAATTGGTCTTCTGTGGGTCAATACCTTTAAAGTTCTTTAACAAATTTCGATTTAACTGTCAAAACTGGTTATCTTTAGCTCTTTGAAATTTTATTAGGACCCGAGGATTTGTAGTAAGAAAATTATCTCGAACCGCATGATCCGATTTTTATTCAGCCAGGACCGAGTGCGACGGACTTTCGGCCGCACAGATAATAATCATGCACTTATATACGTACATTCAGTCCTCGGCATTTGTACACGATAATCAAATGTTAAGTTCTAGATATATACTTTTTTTTCTTTTTTCATTTTTTTCTTTCTTCTTTTTTTTTGGAAAATAAAAATCGTTCGGGCGGAGCAATTTTTGCGGGCGGGCGGGGATGAGAATCTGGTAATTTATTTTATCGAATATATATGTTTTAACTAATACGTAAAGCTCGGTTTGAATTCTTTTCTTGAATTGTGCTGTGTATTACCGGCATAAACGGAACACGTTTTCCAGCGTCAAATTACCAGGTGTCGATTATCACAAAAGCCTAGAAGAAACATAATTTCGATATGAATCATAGTTCATTTATTTCCAACTGACTGCTGTAGAAGCATTTAATGTAAGACATGTTTACATCGTACATGTTCCTATCGTTTAGGCAAATTACTTATCTATACATTTCAACTTGTTCTTAATGTTTTTGTGTAAGAAAAAACTAAAATTAAAAAAAACAATTTCAGGTCTCGTTGCAGGAGTTATTGTTGGACTTTTAATCCTGAATGCTCTAGTAGCTGTTGGTTATGTTTGTATAAGAAGGTAAGCATGCTCATATTGATTTCCCGCGTGCTGCCACATTTTATACGATACCATACATTTCAGTATTTCTGTGTGGTAGGAATTTACCAACAGCTGCGCAGTTTCAAAATCGCTCTCCGTTGATGATCTTGCTGGGGAAAGTCCATTGTTATTCCAATGCATCAAATAACGCTTTGACAAGCATCTTGACTAGTTAAAATGTAACGTTATAAAAACACATCAATTATTTCAAATTGGCATAAAATAAAGCCGAAAGAAAATACGACAGGCTAGTTTATATTTTATTTTACAATAATTCTGTGAGAACATTCGCTCAAAAATCTTTTGTCATGTTAAGATATGTCACTTTTGCATTTTTGAAATGATGATTTAAGTAATCTTTCCACTAGTTTATTTAAATATTATATTTTTATCATTTTGAACAACCATCAATATTTTTTATTGATCAAATTGAAGTTGTCAAATGCATTCAACGTATATATCCTGTGGTTTGTAGTAATTACCAAACCTTAAATTAGTTTTAGACTAACGGTGTATCTAGCGTGTGAGTGTAGCGGACAGTGTTGCACTGCGTTCCAAGTTCCATAAAGTCGCTCTTTATTGTATGTCGTCATATGCAACCATATGAGCCGCGTCACGACTAAACCAACATAATGGGTTTGCGTCTGCGCAGTCTGATCAGGATCCATGCTGTTCGCTATCAGTTTCTCTACTTGTAATAGGGTTTGGTAGCGAACAGCATGGATCCTGATCAGACTGCGCGGATGCGCAGGCTGATCTGGATCCATGCTGGTCGCAAACCCATTATGTTGGTTTTGTCATGACGCGGCTCATATATTTTACAATTGTTTAATTGCATTATTGGTCATACGGTACAGAAGTAAAATGTTGACACCTAAGGTAAAATTGAAATTTGTGATATAAAAAAGGCATAATAAATCTAAAAAGAATGCTTAAACCAGCAAAATGGAAATAAAACATTCGATAAAACTATATTGTATGATAAGAGAAATCACTAAATATTATTTCTGACGTACGAGATTTGCCAAGATTATGACTGTTTTGCTTCGTTAACCATTTGGCTTATATGAAATGAGGAGATGATTAAATCGCAGTGATGCAGAGGCAATGTAATATAAACACAGCCCTTTCTTTGTCAACTGTAACATTATAGACTAAGTTCAAAGTCAAAATGAATTTGCAAAATCTTAGTTCAGCCAATCTGTGGACGCCAGCAGTTAAATGTATGCCACAATGGTTGCATCCCATTAACTAACATACAATCGTGTTTTATTAACATTTAAAAAATTAATGGTATTGCTTTGCTTTTCTTAGAAAGTGTAAAATTAACAAAGAAAACGGCCAGACAAAGGAAGCTGTTCAGTCAGTATCTGGACAGTTGGCGCAACAGAGTCTACAAGATAATCAGAATACAGGAGCAACTAATGCCAATGCGTATGAAAGGTTAAACATGCATGGTATCGGTGACCAACGAGATGGGGACTATCAGCAATTAAAGGGGGAATATGAATATGTGTATGAAGACACAGAATCAAACGATAAAGACAGGTAAATGTTTTATAATCAAGTATGAGCGCAAGAATTATGAATAGTGCACTTTTTAAATCTATAAAGAAATTAAATTTATTTTTGATAAATAGGAAAATGATTAAGGAAATACTAGTACTATTGTACTCATTTATTTTGTATCAACCAGTACCGTTGGCCTAGTGGTTAATGCGTCCGCCTTCGGATCGGGAGGTCGAAGGTTCGAGACAACACGAGGAGCTTTAATTTAAGGATGAATGTCTCTTGTGGGACTCATTCCGAAATGGCCGCTTCGTGAGCAAATTGAATGGTTACCGATTTCTATCCGCCTGGCGTAGCGGTAGGAATATGGAAGTACATGGTATGCAAGCAAAAGGTGTCTCATAAGTTAGAAATGGCTGATCCTTTCAGTAGGGGTGACACTGTAATAAAAAAGACCTTTTGTACTGTACTCATTTATCTTGTATTAAAGATCTGAAAGTGAAAGTCATTATTGTTTCAGCGATTTCTTGACAATTGTATCATATGGTTATAAGAGAAGATATTGCCGTCTTTGATACAAGTATGCAGTTCTGTTTATATTTATATTTTAGAGACACTGGAACAGTCCAACAAATGGCGGGAAATGTATCGATGCACCCTGGCACAAATGTTGAAATTGGAGAACAGACTGTACAGTTGTACAGTGAAATACAACCAGAGAACATTGTGAACGTCTATGAACAGCTGAGCAGTTATAAAAATGACAATCCAGCTGTTGATATGTACCAACAATTAGATTTTAAGTAAAATCTTAACCATCTGCTAAAATAAATTAAATCATAAGCTTGGAATCGTTTCACCATAAAATATAAATTACTGTATTTCTCTTATCTGATTGTTTTTACATACTTTTGATACATACTTATCAAACATACTTTTTTTATGTATTTCTTATTCTTTTCAATGCACTGTAGATCACCAGATTTTTGAGGATATGCTCTCTTGTATTTAACGTTTAGAAAGTCTTACGAGTCGTGTAAAGCGGCATATACGCAGTCATTAATCAGACTTTGTTAAGATTACCTTTTTTAAAGATTATAGAAACTTTTACAGGCCAACCGATCAAGTTACATATGTGCATTTATTGTGCCCAGAACTAAAATATTTGGCATGTATCATTGTCCTGCAGATCACTACAAAATGTCTATAAATCATGCCTTCAGGTGTTCGGGCGGTGAAGTTTACATACTTATTATACATGTCTTAATATTTTCCTATAAAAAAAACATTGATTAGAGTATTAGTAAGTAGCACTATGTCGTGGTTCTCTACAAACGATATTAGATAAATTAACCACTTAGGGTATAATTGTCACTTAGTTGATTTAGACTTGAATAAGAATGAATTTAAAATGGACTCGTCTACAATGGAGATATATTCCATAATTATTTCAAAATTGAGCCGTGTCATGACAAAACCAACTTAACGGGTTTGCGACCAGCATGGATCCAGACCAACCTGCGCATCCGCGCGCAGTCTGATCATGATCCATGTTGTTCGCTACAAACCCTATAACAAGTAGAGAAACTACTTGGTCGGTGTAAAGATTCAAAACGTTATTTCCATTTCAAAAAGGTAAGTGTTTGTTTAGTCATAATTAATTAAGTATGGGTTAGTGTTTGTAAGTTTATTAAGTGAAAACTTACCGACTTAACAGACACTCATAATACACATTGCGAGTATAATACGCTGATTTATCCGGATCATATATACTGACAAGTACGGGCGTGTTAAATGAATTGAATGTATCTTAAAAGTTTTTTAAAAAATAGGGTTTTATTTCATTCATTTGGATTAAATATAATATTAACCATTGCTTCTATTTAGTGGTTAAAATATCATTTTCTCCTAGACATCTTGGTAACGTCAACACATATTAAGAAAATGAATCTGAAACTGATAGCCCAACAATAATTTTCAATTAGTAACTATATACTTTTAAATGTACAATGTATATAAAAACTTAATACTTGCTTTTGTGTACGCATTGTATGTACTTTGATTAACAGCAGAAATACATAGATACACTCTAAGTGAAATCATTTGAAAATATTTCGCATCACAGTCGCTTTTAACCTTGATGTATTTCCAAGATTAGTTTGGATTATGGCCACAAACCACTTATTATCAGCCGTATATAATTCAAAACTCCTATATGTACTTATCGTTTTGTTCCTATATCTTTTTTAATTGTGGGTATGAACAATTAACTAAAATCACGCCGACATTGGAAAGGCAACTAAACAAAATAATAGATGGATGAGAACCACATGTACGCCTTTATTTATGCATTATTGCAAGCCGAATAACCGACATTCCTTTAGCTAGCTGTTTTGCTATTTTAAATGCGAGAATCCTAAACACTTTCCGGGATGAATCGGTCACTCATCGGTGAAGGAATAGTGAATAAAAAAATGAGAATAAGATAAAAAAAAAAGGCAAGTGTAGGATAACGGTAATTAGCGACGTTCACAGAACGCAGTCCCCCGACACAATACAGTCATACGGCAGGGTACCCAGAAGGAACCAAACTAAAAAATGTGAGAAGACACAAGGGCGGTGAAAGGAGGGAAGGGATATGTTATAGGACTTAAAGGGGCTGATACATGAATTAAAGGGTCAATGGGTGTAAGGAAAAATGGAGGACGGAGGAAGGAGAAGGTCACAAAACGAGTCAGCGACCTTTGTCAATGGTCTCTTTACATGAATCCTAGCAGGCAGCTTTGCATAGAAAAGACTTTATCGCAATGAATGTTGGCATAACAAGTCTTCTTAAATGCATCAATGCATCTCTGATGTTATATAGTCGTTATAAAAGTTATTAAATCTGTCCTAAATGTTACGGTACTTTAGTTATGTTTCGGGTAATTTGGGGGCTGCATTTCGTTACCTTTACTGTCCCTCGTTGATCTTTAGTTCAGTATGTTATACTTGAATGTAAATAACGAGTTCAGCTTCTTTCAAAATTAGTTTTAAAGATATAATATATATAGATATTATAGATAGAAATATATGTATTTAATAGGAAAGCAACTTAACGATACAATTGTGCATTAAAATCTTTAATATGCCCAAAATGTAATAAATAAAATATGATTTTATATTCTTAGGTTTTCACAAGATTCAAACGGATATATATAATATGATACTAGGTCAAGTTCCTTTCATGAGATACAAATTCTTACATCCAGAATTTAATAGTTAATAAATGAAACAAATACAATTGTGCCGTAAAATCTTGTTATGCTTTATGAATGACTGGGGTCTTATCTAATGTAAATTTAATAACTAAAATAGGAATCGTTATGAGTCTACTTACATATAATTGTATATGATGTAAATGTTCACTTAACTTTATACTCGGATTTTCAGACTCAAAGATTTTCATTAAAATGAACAACAATTATGTTTCATCCGTCATGTGTGTTTCATAATACACACAAATCATCTATGTCTCGTCAACAAATCAAAGTCAACGTTACTTCACAATTATCTGGCTAGAAAAGTATGGAAATCGTTTGTTCACAAGTTACCTCCTATAAATGTATTTTAAATATGGCCTCATTGTAAATTTTCTTCATATAAAAAGATACACCAACATCTTACGAATATGATGAATAGAACTAACTTCAACATATTCACACTAAGAATTAAGACACATTCTACAAATAAGGTAAATAAATGCTTTATTTTGTATTTAGTAATATTTACAGCATAAGTCATTTTGTCTTGATTATTAATTGTAGACTTATCTGGAGGTTCAGGGCATTATCCAGCTTGCCGCTTTTTGATCCTTTGTGCTTATTAAATGCTTTGGTCTACTTGACAAGCCTCGTTTTGGATCCAAAAGATTTCTTTAGTTGTTCACAGAGAAGTTTCAATTTTTGCAAGTAAATTTACACCGCTTTCCTCACCACCACCCTCCAGTTTTAGTCATCATATTTGTATGTGAAAGTTCATTGTCGACATTGACATGCTTGTACCCACCACCTGTCTGTCATCCTTGAAGATTTTATAACATTTTTCTAGTCTTATTGTTTCTAGTCATCTTGATAAACTTAAATTTATATACCTTTTCCTAAAAATGAAATCGTCTAAAGACATTTTAAATCCACCTATCGTCAGACTGTTTTCTTTTTCTCGGGTGACAGAAATAAAACTCCAGGCAAAGCAAATATGATACTATACTATGTACATGCTTCGCGACAGAACTGTCAACACCAGACATGCATTTATGAAACCAAGATCAAAGGTTTTACGTCCTGGAGCCATATTCTTCTCTCTGGCGTGAAATCCTGAGTCTTCAACACAAATTCTGACTCGGCTTTCTCCGATCTTTTCATTCTGCATTATCACAAATTGGCCATCAAACAAGAAGCGTGTTGAGGTAAGGCAGTATAGGACTCTCATATCATTGCTCAGAAGAAATTCTGATGACTGTAACTCCACTTGGTTGCAGATATACAATTTATTGATAACATGTTGATTTTGATAAGGTATTAGGAACAAATATGCTATTTTATACTGTGGGATTTCTAGAAAATCCGTCAGATTATAGAACCCGTCTGCTTTTTTACTGCCGTCATAATACCAAATGGACGATATCTTTGAAAACTTTGCAGAATTCAACACTGTCGTGACATTGCTTACACGTATAGACCATGTTTTCCCAATCATTTTGTTAATGTTTTTTATAATTATATCTGGTTTTACAATTGAAAGTTTCCTTTGCATGATAATTATGAAATTATTTGACACATCGGGCTTATCCATCAATCTATAGTATGCAGCTCTAATAGACCATTTCTTCAACCATACTGATGTCAGAGGAGGTAGAATTGTTGAATATGCATTATTGTATTCAATACCAAATACTTCTGATACGTTAACGGGTGTAATTAATGTAAGGTTGATATAGATTTCAAAGTTCTGATTGTACCAAATCTTATTCGGATATACACACTTATTCGATCCGTTCCTGAGCTGCCCAGTTGGACAAAACATTAGACGGCACTTGTTTACCTAGAATATAAAAATCAAACTTGAATATATCATAAAAAGGCGTACTAGTAGCATAGCAAAGTTTATTTACGCCAATGAATGATAGCCTTAAAATGTAAAAATGTAAAGCACTTCATATGGCCCAAAAGTTATAAGAATGTTACTGCCTAAAACTACGAGTAGCTTTCTTTTAAAACATCAGTTTGGCTTAATCATTACTCAGTTGAATTTCTTCTGTTTGATCTGGGTTTGGAACATAAAAGATGTTAATATAAAAGTACAACAATTGAACAACCAACAATATATAGCAGGTGAACAATCAGACCAGGCTCGATACTGGTTACAAATGCTTACCCCTTTTTCCAGCAGGTTTTTTAAACACGATACAAGTTATGTGCTGATTTTGTAAGATAAAAATGGTTTATCTTGTTTATCTATTGTATGTCGAAGCAGGAATTAACATGTTTGGAGACATCAATGCTCCGGAGCAAGATGATACGAGTAACTATCGTTTATTTATAATGAATTAATTAAGCCGATTGCGTTGGAAGGTATAAGCTTTTTGAAACACTCTCGATCCGTTCCTTGAACCAACCAGTACTAAGCAAAGAGTGTCTTGCTGAAGGAAATAACGGCTTGCATATGATGAGGTTTGAACCTACCCGGCCGGCAATCCTTAATTTATCTTAATTTACTAGTCCGACTCGTTAACTACTCGGTCACACTATCTATCGTTGAATTCATTCAAATCACGGTTGTTAAACCAATTATGTTTTATTTTATTATCTTATTAATGTCAATACTTGTGACTTACATTTTCAATAGAGCATGCGATAGGTAAATCGTTTTTCCTGTCATTGTCAGTATTTCTGC